GGACAACTGACACCTGGGGCAGAGGTTTGAATAAGAGCATCCAAGTGGGGAGAGGAAGTTCGGGCTGAACCCCTTCAGAAAGGGCAAAGAACACATTAGGGTTCGCGACGTTTCAGGTGGCATGGGCTGGGTTGTACTCCCTGCCCGAACGGGCACAGGGCCGCAGCCAGGTTTATCTCACCAGAGCCATTAGGTCCAATGATGGCTGTGAACCTCTGAAATGGTCCGATGATCTGTCTCCCCTTGTAGGACTTAAAGTTCTCAATCTCAATCAGTTTCAGGAAACCCATAGCGGCTGCAGCGGCCCCAGCAGCGGCAAGAAAGGCCCCGCCGCAAACCCTGGAACTGGGGAGCCGCGCGGGAAACACCGCAGTGCAGGCCGGGCGGATGACAAGCCTCGCGAGAATGAGTCCAGACTAACAGGATTTCCGGCTTCCGTAGCAAACCGGACAAAGGGCGAGGCCTTCGGTCTAGCGTGAAGGTTTTGTTGATTCGTTGCCAGAGCGAGGGCTTACTACTGGCGTTTGAACTCCACCCCTTCTGTTGTCTTGGTAACACAAACCGTTGTGGCAGCGGAATGTGTCCTAGTGCAGGCGGTGCCGGAAGGACTCTGAGTGGTGTTTGGGATACTGGAGGCCGGTGGGCCTAGAGCCCACGATTTCTTAAAGTTGAAGTCGCAGCAGAGTTAGGTACCGAAGGGCGAGAAGAAAATGGGAGGAGCTAGGCTCTGGCTTTAGCCTGGTCGCTGGAGGGTTCGAACAAGGGGTTGGGAATTGGAAGGACACCCGGGAGCAGAGGGCTAACGGGAAAAAGGAGCTGGCAGTAGGATTCGTTTTTAGGTGAGCTCAAACCTTGCCGAGGATGGAGTAGGATTAGAGGAGAAATGGAGTGGGAAGGAAACTGGGGGAACTAGGCGACAGGGTTATGGGCCGGACAAGGTAGTGGTCTGTCCCCTGCCTCCCTCCTGTCTTCCAAGCAGTTCAGAGATGGCCACCATAGCCCAGGTTTTGGATGTAAGCCACTTGGCTACTTCATCCCAGATCCAATCTGGGAGCTTCAAAACCGGGATTCCTTGATGAAAAAAGTATTGTGTGTGGCCCAGGGGGGTGAAATACCCTTGGCATTACCCTTCTAGGCCAGCGTTTCAGAAGGAGGGTAATGATTTTAGCCCCCAGGGATACCTAGCAATGTCTAAAGACATGTTCAGTTGTCACACCTGGAGAGTCATCTTGTGGGTAGAAGTTGGGGATGCTGCTAAAAATCCTTCAGTGTGTAAGAACTACTTCAGCAAGGGCAGCCTCTCAGGTTAGGAAATGATTCAGCTAGAACATCTCTGAGGAGGAACACAGCAGAATTCCAAACGTACCACTTTTGGGAGTAGGTAGGAGAAACCCATGGTGTTCTATTTCCTTCATAACATTTATCACAACCTAAAATTATCTTATTTTCTTATTATTGTCTTTCCCCTCTGGAATTTAAGTTCTCTGAGAGCGCAGACTTGCCTTATTCTATTTTCTGTTGTTTCCACAGCATCTTGAACAACTAATAAACAGTAAGCATTCAATGGACGTTTGGTGAGCAAGTTCCGGCTTTTGACAGTGTCAGTGCCAGTGGTAGGAAAAAGGCGAGCTTAAGGCACTCCACCTCTGAGGTGTGTGTGCTGGCAGGGATCAAGATCCCAAGAACCCTGTAGACTCGACCGCTGGGTCCGAGATTCAAAACTGCCGCCTTGGGAGAATAAAAAAGGGAGAAAATTGGAGGTACCAGCGCGAGGTGGAGCGGGCGCTGAGCTAAGGCAGAATTGTATCATTTAGGATGGGAGGCCACAGGAGAGGTAGCAGCCCTCTCAAGACTTCTGGAAAGGTCAAGCAAAGCGAGGAAAGTTGGAGAAAGTGGGTCCGCAGGAGCAAACAGCCGGCAGTTAACGAGGGACGCACCACTTTTGGCGGGAGGGGTAGTGGGCGGGGCGACGTACAGTTCAGCCTGTGACACTGGGGCAGGG